ATACAATACACCTTGACACTTGAAACATGATGCCTACAAACCTAAAGTTCTTGGACTCCTTCAAAAGAATACCAAGTTACTCTTAATAGAAGGCTCCAATGCATTTTAACCAGGCCTCAGACTTCAACATCACAATGATGGATCAGTTAAAACAAACTTTTAGTTTCCTGGGTTATTTCAGGAGATCCTAAACATAAATAAGTATTTTGCTGAGCTGAATCAAGAGTATTAAACTTTAAACTAAGTGAAGTCAAGATATTAACATCTAACCATAATAGAACAGTTACATGAAATAAACAAAAGGCTGTCACCATCCATTCTATTTCACAAGGTGTATTTGTTCTGTAAACATGATAAGCCTTAAGGCATATAATTTACACTTTACTATGTGGGCATGGAGGCAAATCACTTACCATGTCATCTTGTTTGCATAACACGATAAAAATATATTAGCAAATGGATATTAACATTTGCACATTTAACATGTTTAAAGGGGAAGTGAGCTTGCAAAAATCACTTTCTCTCTTATTTGAATCAAAATGCAATTTTAGAGTTAGTTAATATCAATGTTAGAAAATATATACACATTTTTCTCACAGGGAAAATAGTAAGTTCACAATAAGTGTGAAAATGCTTCGCTGTTTTGGGGGCTGTTTTAGGGTGAGATGAGATTCCATCCTATACATTGTCTGATTCCGAAGAAGTTCCCTTGACCCATCAAGAAATCGACAAAACTACACACTTATGAACCAACAAGAGCCAGTTTGTGGTATGGAAACAATGAACATGAAGTGGAAACAAGAGAATAGATTCTCTTTGATTTTTTCCCCATCCAAACTTTTTCAATGTAACTGCCATATTTTATTGATAATTAACTGGATGTCGTATTTCACACCAACACATGCAGGATAAAACCCGCTCCATTAGAAATGGTAGATCACTCCATTGATGTGTTTAGTGTTTGAAATCAGTGAGGCCTATATTGAATAGATCATTGGTTTGTTCTGACAACCATTCATAGAAAATGCATTAATAGTTTTTATCTTTCATATATCATGGATGCAATATCCTGCCGACACATCATTCCGTGGTACTCACCAATCCGTGGTATTTTTGCACGGATTTGCGCCCCATAGCGATTGTTTACATTGACAACTCGATCGTGACAGCTCCAAGCGAAAAATGTTCAGAATTGCACCTATTTACGTAAGTACAGCTTTATATTACGATAAACTAACTAAAACTAACCTTCTGCACGTAATGCACTTTTTGTACCATTATAAAAAATGAGATAGTAAAAAATATTCAACTCATAAGTTCAGCAAGAGAAGTTCGTCTGCTAGCTGATGTAAACAGTAATGTGTATCACGTGACTACTAAGGGGAATACCCGCTCAATTTTTAAAACTATGGAAGCTGAGTAGGGCCATATCTTATATCGTTTATCGTGTTTTGTAGGATAATCCTGCGAGACGCAAACGACAGTACCGGCCTTATAGTCCAACACAACTGAAAGAAGCCTATCTGGAAGTGGTTGAACGAGGTTCTTCTGTCTACAAAGCAGCCAGGAAGTACTCTGTGCCGACCAGACTCTGAGGGACAGAACTAAAGGCATTACTTCCCCAGAACGTTTGTCCTCTTGACCAGGCCCATTATTTTCCCAAGAAGAAGAAGCAAGCCTTGTCGACCACATAAAGCTTATAGCCTCAGTAGGGTATGGATATACCAGGGCGCAGGTTATCAGTCTTGGAACTGACTATGCCATAAATCTCAAGAAACGTAGTAATGATTCCAAATCACTATCACTGCAGTGGTTTTATGGGTTGATGGGAAGATGGCCTGAACTGAAGTTATGACGACCAAGGGGATTGTCTCAATTACGAGCCACTGCCACATCTGAGGAGAGCATCAACAAGTATATTCCTCAACTTGAAGCAGTTCTTGACAAGTATGACCTAAAGTCAAGCCCAGAGCTGATCTACAACGTCAATGAGAAGGGAATTAATCTCACACATTCTTCACCGCAAATCATTGGATCTGCAGACGAAGTTCCAATTGAAATCTGCCCAGAGAAATCCTCTACAGTTACTGTTTTTGGATGCAGCAATGCATTGGGTCAGAAGATTCCACCTTTTTTCATTTTCCCTGGTTCACCATGCGCGATGATCTCTTAGATGGTTCGACAGTTGGAACTTGTGGAACTGTTAGCGAGACGGGATGGTCCAATAAAGACATATTTCAACGATGGTTGACAGGCCATTTTGTGAAGTATGCCAAAGTCGGAGGTGACAAGAAAACTCTGCTGCTATATGACGGCCACAGGTCTCACATCACCCCTCATCTGATAGATTACGCTGTTGACCAGGGGATAATCCTGTTTGTTCTACCACCTCACACGGATGTTGGGTGCTTTGGGCCTTTCACCAAGATTTTCAGTTCAGAATGTAGGAAATGGCAGTGGTCAAATTCTGGAACAGTTAACCGATATAGCGTCTGTTCTTTGGCCTGTAAGGCATACAAGATTTCTCTGTCTGCCAGTAACTTGCACAGTGCTTTCAGGAAATTTCAGGTATTTATCCATTTGACCTAACGGCAATTGACAAGTCATTCCTGAGCCATCTACGTTTGCCAATCAACAGGCGGAAAAAGCATCAGAAATTTCAGTTACATGTCCTGACATCGTTGAACAGCCCTCAGATTCAAGATTTTTTGAAGATCATCTACCTGTTGTTACCATTAAGAAATCGAAGCCAAGACGTTCTTATCCATAAGTTCGTTGGTGGACAAGCAATTACCGAAACAGATATTTCATGTCAAGTCACGGCTTACATCAACCAGTCCAAACAGTCAACAAACGTAGGAAGCAAGGCATTAAAATCAACTGCGAAGCCAAAGACATCTAAACTGACAACAGTTAACACGACTACCAAGTCTACTAGCAAGGATAAGCAGGACAGTATAAGGAAATCAGCTACACGTCCCACTGTTGTGTCATCCCAACAACCTGGACCATCTGGGATTGATAAGCTCCTTATCTCAAGCGACGATCAATCAGATTCTGAATCTATCAACGATATTGACGCCAAGTGTTGTGTATGCGGAAAGTTTCAGCCAGATGAACTGAGGCGATGTCCACATGTTGAGTTCACTAAGTGTGGACAGTGCATGCATGGGAATTGTGAACACCGGGTGCATTTAAAATACTGTTGTGACATCTCCTTTCTTCGTAGACATGATGTGTTTTTCTGTCCGTGTCACAGTCTACCTTGCAGACACCAAGAAGAATAACGAAATTCGTGTTGATCATAAACTGTAAATAATCTGAAAATTTGTGTTCAAGTGACAGTTATTTCATATTTCATAATTAAGTACAGTGTTATTTGTATTTTGTTACGTTTCGAAGTGCCTTGGGAACATTACTTTCGATACCAAAGAACTTTGACCTCGTGGCATGTGCTAACCACCCGTAGCTTGACCCGATGAACTTTACCACGGAAACATATGACGTCACTACAAGTTGTGTAGAAATGGCCGCTATTGTACAGCAGCCGATACGGAGGCATTTGTGGACAAAATGATGTTTCCTTGTAATTAAATGGTGTAAAGGTGAGTGTTCTAACGATTTATTTCACATTTATTACTTGTCAAAGTCAGCGAGTTGGTTTATAGTAATGCTTTTCTTAATACCACGGAAACACGAGTCGCGAGGGTACACATACCGTGTGTTCAGTGTGTTCTAAATGTAAATATACCTTATATCATGTGGTAAAAATTTTTTTATAACAAAATACAGTATGTGTAGAGAATAACTCTCTTATATATGCACTTAGAAATAACTTAACCATTGTGGTGATTGAACATGGTAGATTGATATAAATTTGTTGAAAATTGCATTACTCAACAACAAAAAGAGCAACATGAATCAATCTTGCTTGTACTGCCCTTTTAAATTCAAAACATGTAGTCATTGTAGGTGAAGGAAGTAGGCCTCATGGAATGCCTAAGGACTGAATAAGTCACCAAAAGGTTAGGCTAAGTGGGATCTGTGATCCCTCAATTACTTTGCCGCACCAAATACACTGCAGCGATCAATCATTTTTTTAAATACAGTAGGCCCATGTGCGTTAGATCTACATAGGCTATCATGCACAATGCAACTTGCTGCACAAATGAAACTGTATTTAGACTATGCTACAGGTTTGAATCATAACTTTCCTATCTCTTTTGTATCCCAAGATATCTAAACAGCCCTTTATACATTGTTACCGGCATCCGAATGAAGATGAGATAATGTTTAGAACATTGTCCCTAAGTGTTATTATCATCCAAAACTGGCTCCCACAGGAGATATGGCTTGGATGAGATCAAGCGATATCTACACTGTAGATATCGCTGCAATGAAATTACATCACAATGCTTTGCAGACCATTGTGACTCACTGGTTACCATGACGTCACAATCAAATGACATCACTAATGGCTCTGCTACTGAAGCTGTTAGCAGTACTTTTTACACTGAAGACACTGCTAATTACTGTCTCCAAATTGAAAAAGTTGGAAGAATGATGTTGGATGATAAATAAAATCTCACCCTCGTGTCTTTTGACATCAAATATATCAACACTCGTTGATAAAAGTGGCAAAAATCCTCAGCAAGCCTCTGAATTTTTCCACTTTTATCAACTCATGTTGATATATTTGATATCAAAAGACACTTGGGTGAGATTCTCTATCTGTCACTCAGTGTTTAATTAAAAAATAATTTGAACACTACATTTCAATTTTGTACATGTCTTGTATATGTACTGGATACATTTACAATAGATGTTTAGCTATTTAGGTTTACCATGCATAGTCCAATAAAACAGTCATGTTCTAATAGCCTTATGAGTTATGTTTAGGTCTGGGCCTAGAACTTTTCAGTTTTTAACATGGAGTTATGTGCTTCTTTATCAAATCATCGAAACAAACATTAAACAATAAACATATAACATAGACATACCTCAGCAAAGGTGTTGACTCGGCGATTGATAACAAGTCATAATGCTGCCAACGTGATTCTCTTTTCACGCTCCGATGCCTCCGTACTGTGACAGCTTTGATGACATGGAAAGTACCGTTTGTGCACTACCACCACCAGGTGGCGCTTGTTGCAAGACATTTAGTTTCGTATTATTTTGGCGACGTCTGATTATTTGAGTGCCTTATCATGTTTACGTCTGAAGTTTCTATAGTATTATTTTATAATAGCAATAAACATACTAAAATGTGTTGAATATATTCTATTTTTCGTAATGACAAAAATACATGAGTACGATAGTAACTAGCTTTACTTCATGAAAAGGAGGGAATTTCAGTCTGCTACAGTAAAACATAATATATAAGAAAGGTTAACATTTACAGGACGTTTCTACGGCACTGACATAAACGGTTAAATAGTGATGTCAACACGTAGATCAAAAAGGTAATCTGGATTTGTGACAGTTAGTTAGATAAGTAACGACAGCAAGGCACAAACAAGTGCCTGGTGTTCTGACCGCTGTGGAATCCCGTGACTGCAGTGCAGGAACGGTACAAAAGTGTACCAATGGTTAAGTGGTAATGGTGTGACATTTGAACAGCTGTTAGGAGGCTCACACCTCTTTAGATTTCTTTTTTTAACCAATCAACTTTTTCGGTCAGCCTGCCACATGATATTTTGACGTAATTGGATATTTTTTATTTGTGTTGTGAGCAACATTTGGTATGTGTCCAGAAAGAAACAAACTGGGCCTAATCAGAGACTCTGGCCTTAGGCTTCCATTTTATCTTTTGTCTGTACAGGGAATTTATGTCAATACATTTGATGACTATTTGTTTAACTATGGTTACCTTTAGCCTGTTCCTACGGAGCGTGTAGTTATCACACGCTTATATTTGCTAGCTTATAGGCCTACTATGTTCCTCTTGGACCCGTTCAATACAGCGACCATAACATAGGCTTATAGTAGTTGGCACTGTCCCAAGTGATTTCGTTCTGACTAACTATATAAATATCCTCATCAGAAGTTTTGAAATTCATCTAGACCTGCTCAGAGGCTGATATTTTGCTGAAGTCTGCACTGCAGAAAATGTCAGTGAATATTCCCAAACTGGAGTTAAAAGATTCTGTTTTCATTTTAATATAGTTAATGTTTTAGCTTTGTCGAGGTGACTTGTATTTCATTGATATTTGACCAATGAAGAGGAAAATCAGAGCTCCAGATAAGCTTTTGGTTTTGTGGGTATTTTACCCATGCATTTTAAAATCATTGGGTATCAGTAATTCTATCTGGGTATTCAAATTTCTGTTTCCAACTAGTTTAATTTTTACACATGTGGGTATTTGAGTTAAATATTTAAAAACACTATTCATCTAGTCCCTGCAAACTGGTTTCGTGTGGGTTCGAGAGCTTTATAGGACTCAAAAATACCACGATACTTCCACAAGAAAGTGTGATGGCAAATGATCATGATGTAACTGTCATCGTGGAGTTTGGCAAGGTTGGCGGAATGCCCGTTTATAATTTCAAAATAAGTTGCTGATTTGCTAATCAAATACGCAGGGTTACTTCACAATATTTTGATGATACGCACAAGTTTTATTTTTGTAGCGTATCTGTAATGTTCGTTGTGTATTTGATATGCTTGGATCTTATTTTACTGCGTATTTCTGCATTTCTGATGCGGATTTTACGAAGATACGCAGCTTATCTGGAGCTCTGAAAATACTTATAAACTCTTAGTTTTATATTGTTGCATTGAATTCATCATTTTCATCATGTTCATTGTTAACATGATTAATATACTTTGATGTTTACGATGGTATACATAAAAACTACACACAAAAAACAAAAACAAGTGTATAAAAAAAATAGCCCCAATTTGCCTTCCAAAAAGCACCTATTTGGAATTCTGGAATTTCCTGGGAGTGTAGCAATACATTATTGGTACTGATGTGTTGAAAGATGAAGTGTCACAATATATATTGTATGCGCATGATATGATAATACATCACAATATCTTTAGACAAGTATTGATATTTGTCAACAGTTACATTTTGTTTGTATTTTGTTTAATGCTGCACTCAGCAATATTCCAGCTATATGACGGCCGTCTGTAAATAATCGAGTCTGGGCCAGACAATCCAGTGATTGATGTCATGAGCATCGATCCACGCAATTGGGATACAATGACATGTATCAACCAAGTCACCGAGCCTGACCCCCCCATCCTGTTAGTCGCCTCTTGCGACAAGCATAGTCGCCTTTTACAGCAAGCATAGGTTGCTGAAGACCTATTCTACCCAGGATCTTCAAGGGTCCACCACTTACGTAGCTATGTACATGGTGTATGTGTCCTATGTTTTGCTTGTAGTTTTTCCTGTTACCTAAAGTGAGACCTGCAACCTTTTTGCCATGTCACCTACTGTTCCTATGGGGGGCATGGGTGGCCCTGTCGTCTAAGGCGCCACGATTCGCTGTGCAGAGTTCAGCCCTTGGGCTCGCCAGAAACCTATGATTGTGGGTTCGAATCTCTGTTTGCCACAATTATGTTTCTAGGTTTGTCAGCACCATACCCGTGCTCTTGGGTTTCACTGAAGTGGTAAACGTGTGAGACCTGCATCACTTCAGGCTTTCCTCCCACATTAAGCTGACACGCCACGATATAACTGGAATACTGTTAAAAGCGGCGTTAAACCCAACTCACTCACTTACTGTTCCTATGTTCATGGCTGTGTGAGCTTGTGCTCTTGGTGTGGGATACAGCTAGCAGTATATACCGGTATATCCTTTATATACATGTACCATAAACTTCAGAAATTGTTTAAGACATGTAAGACTAAGAGCTGGTGTAATCATGGTGTTGGGGTTGTAAGGTGATATACATATCTTGTAGGATTTTATTTTGCAACGTGTTATTAGGAAACATGAAAGTTTTATTAAGGTGGATAAAATAAATACGATAAATACGATAACTCTGTTTCTCAGAAGCTTTTACGGAATTTAAACTTGTTAAGACGATTGTCAGGTAATCATGGTAATAGCATTTATTAATCAGTCTGTAACTACCGTATGGTAACTATGGCATCTAGAATGAATATAACCAGGCCTACATTACCCTTGAGCAATGTTGAAAAAACGTCACTAGTTATTCAGTTTTTGTTTGCATGTATATGATGTATTGTTACTTATAAATGATTGTTTTTGCAGAAATAGAACAGAATGAGGTACAGTATTCACTTCTTGATCTTGTCTCTCTGCTCAATGTGTTCTCTAACATGTCTAATGACTAAGCTTGCACATATCTTGCTCTTCTCTGCCAGTAATTCAGTCTCCTAACAACTGCACAGAATGCACATCAACATTAGTGTGGACTAGTTTACCTACCGTATTCGACGTAATAAGCGCCCACGGCGACATTTGCTAATATATTGATTGGCAAGTGAACAATCCCAATTAGCCCCCCTTCCGAATTATCAATGTACACAAGACTTATTTATTCGTGTATAATGCGCACTCGTGTGTTATATTCACCCTTAATTATGGGCAATTAAATTCTGGAAAAATGTATCTGTCGTATAAAAACAGTTCAGACTGTCAGCACAAACCACGAAATTTATCTTTTAACTCTGTTTTTTCCACCAAACTAATATTCTAATAAGAGCCCCCTATTTCTTTATTTTGAGAGCACCCTGGGCGCTTATTACGTCGAATACGGTAATTGCCATTTACAATACCATGGTAAAGTAGTGGTGCATCAGGGACGCTAGGAATGTGGGTATTCCACAGGTTTTCCACTGATTACCTTGAGGTCTTTTCAAACAATAATTACCCTGAAGAGGACGTAAAACAACACTTAGGTTTTTATTGTTTAAACAATGTTACAACATGTACAAGGGTCTTGAATTTGAAGTTAGTACCTCGCCTTATGCATAATGATGACAGCATGCTTATGTAATAGCATGGATTTGTTTCACTTTCTTTGTCTGCCTTAAAAATACTAACCTAAAATCATTAAGTCTGTTGGACATGGTAAAAGTTCTGCTATGGTCATAACAGTGAGTGAGCAGGTCTCCAGCATAATGAACATCCAGGTGCAGCATCCTACTTGTGCTTCATCCCACAATAGGCTGACATGCAGTGATAGTACTGAAATACTGCTCCAAGTGCCATGATGTCACCACTTTATTGAGCTATTGGCTATTGATCCTGTTTTTCATAACGTCATTTGATCAAAATAAAAATTAAAATAGCCTAATTTTAAACTTAACCCACATCACACATGACTTAAAATCCTTGTGAATCAAGTGTACTGATTAATCAAACAGGAAATCAATGAAAAATTTGAAAAATCTACAGTTTTTAATTTTAAACATGTTAAATGTACCGAAAGTCGTCAATGATGTAACAATTTTGATACTGTTATTTAATAAAATTTCCACAATGAAACTGTTGTTTCTGTTGACTGATACAGCTTATTGAATCTTTTACGTATAGGCAAGCAGTTTTTAGTTGCCTTGTCTACTAAGCGATGTATTTGTGAAATTAAATATTGTTTTGAGAAAAAGTATGTTTCTGCTTGATCATGTTGATAAATTATTTCAAATAACAAAGTTCATGTAGTTCTATTGTTTAAATTCATTTTTCAGATTATTGTTATGGTATGCTTTAATAGGTCAAGTGTTTAATAAGGACAATACTGAAAATTAGAATTTTAAAATTAGTATGAGTCACACCAATGATATCAGTGATACCCCACTGACCAGAAACGTTACTCAAATAACAAAAATAAAAAATGCTACGACATTTTCACTTCTTATTACATAAAATCTCCTTAAGTACAAAATCACATATCATATTTGAGTATCATTTCCATGCAATGAAAATTGGATTTCTTAACATGAATGCAAAATAGCATGATTAAAGTATCAAAACCTTTATAAACAGTTTGTGTTTGTGTTACACCAATGACACTTGTCGTTACCCCACATCTCTCCGCACTTGGGGGCGGTCGGGTAGCCTAGTGGTTAAAGCGTTCGCTCGTCACGCCGAAGACCCGGGTTCAATTCCTGACATGGGTACAATGTGTGAAGCCCATCTCTGGTGTCCCCCACCGTGATATTGCTGGAATATTGCTAAAAGCGGCGTAAAACCAAACTCACTCACTCACTCGCTCACTCACTCTCCGCACTTGACGTAGGCATGGCTGCAGGTAGTTCTACATACAGGGATGTGAAATCTCCGCGGAAACGCGGAAAATCGCGTTTTTTAAAACAGTAGTCCTCGGAAAAAATCATCTTCCGCGTAAAAATTAAATAATTTTTTTGAAAAAAACACTCAGAAAAATATGATCGAAAACCGGACAACCATCGCGAATTGTCCTGTTTTCGATCAGATCTTTCAGCCGCATAGGTTTTCGGACATCATACGTTTTCTATCACGAATACTTGCACTATTAAGTTGGATGTGGCGTCACACAGAAATTGTAAATACTCAGAGTCATCTGATGGCTTGTTTTTAAGATAAAGTTGTCTTTTAGCCTGTAAGTGAATAAGATGTTTTACAGTTGTTCATGTGATTAGCGAGAAAACTATGAATGTTTCTTCAGCGTCCAAAACCCCATAACATGGGGATATATGTTGTATTAATGTCTTATGTTTGCAATGGAGTTTTGTTTTTTTCATCAAAAGGTAAGTACAAGGTAAGTTTTTTTTCAATATGCTTCAACATGGGGAAAGGGTCAGACATTGCACGCTTGTGACAGTTGTCCTTGTGTCTGGGGGATGGGGGTTGAAGTTTATGGCAGTATTGCTCCCAGACCTGGCGGGAAGCCAGGGGTGCGAAAGCTATGCCCGATTTTTTAAAAGTACTGATTTAACTTAGAAATTTTACTGCATCTGCCATCTTGTTTATTTGACTTATTGACTTTTGCCATTGACTTATTACATTTCTTGGTGTGAATGTTGTCCAAACTGCACGAAATTGCTTAAAATGCAATCAAATGTTTAAAAAAATTCTGGGTGGGCATGCCCCCATACCCCCTAGACTTTTCCTCTTTTTTCGGGAAATCCTGCTCACATCCCTGTACATATGAAGTGATACATTTTCTAATAAACTTGGAACGATATATCTCCATAAGACCCATAACATAATTATAACAATGGAATTAATGTAAATAAAAACAAATTGATGTCAATTTGTCATTGGCGTAACACTAACTTAAGATATGTTTTATGCTGTTTAAATGATGTTCTTGCAACAAGAAGAAAATATTTATTTTCTGTGATACATGAAAAGAACATTTAAATTACATTTACCTTCTACAATTCATAAAAAGAGTATGTCATTATATCAGTGGCACAACTAATTAAATCTTTGTAATAACACTGGTGTTGTGTGGTAATCATAAATGTTCTTTTGCATCTATTTTTATGATGAGTTTATAAAAAAAACTTATATCAGTTTGTAAAAGCTTTACTTTGACAATAAATACATAGATTTGTTCAATTAGAAGGACCACGTACATTAAGAAATATTGCTAAAGTGTCAGTGGGGGCATGAATTGTGTCAATGGTGTAACAAAATCAATCAAAGTAAGTTACAAGATTTGTGAATGTTTAGGTTTTTTCTGTTTCCTTTCAAGACTTGATCATATTTGAAATGAATCAAATGTGTATTAAACATGTCAAACTATAACTGAACTATTTTATCAGTAACATAATATTTCGAACTATTCATCATATTATGGTCAATGGTGTAACAACATTTGGCATAAGTGTAACATGACACCACTGACCGATACACCACTGACATATTTTAAATATTGATGCATTTTTAGAATAACATCTACTCCAACTGCAGAGAAGCATGTGCTCAAGAAAACAAATTAACAATCTCTATGCATCTAACAAACTAAATCTGTTGATCAGCGCACATGTGATAGATAACAATGTTACACTAAAGACAACAGAAAAAAATATAGTGCAAGTCAAGCTTACAAATTCATTTTAACTGTTCTGCTGCCTGCTCTTCATGTCGTCTGCTACTTTGCCTCATGCGCAGGTGACCAGGAGAAGGGACCATTCAGTTTCTTCTCAATTTTCAAAGGGTGATTACTTTTGTTTCAGGTATTTATGATTTGTTACACCACTGACCATGCTGACAGTGCTTTTTTTTTACGAGCATATAATTGTGTATTCATTTGCTTCAAATAGACTGTAACATTAGGTGATTCATGAGATATAATGACAAGACTATAAATGAGCCATATGAAATAATAAAGTGTTCAAAACATTTCATGTAACAGGAACAAATGTGATGTCAGTCCACTGACAAGACAATTTACTGTATCTGGAATTATTTGAACAATGTTTATATGATTAAATTACATAAAAGGTGATTAAATCTTTTTACTTATATAAATGAATGTATTTGGTAATCAAATCTATTTTCGATTTCCCCCCAAAATTGTCCATTTCTGAGAATTACTCAACTGACCATAAAAAGGACCAATTTTGATAATGACCCTACTACATAGCCGAAGTTACTCCTGTGGTGGCAGGGCTAGTGTGGTTTTCATTTCTTGGTCATGTTGCTTGTTACTATGGTTACTGAATTATCATAAATATCGTAATCGATTACTCTTTTCTCCTGTTAGTTCTTTAGAACAAGTCGTAAAAAATGTTAAAAATGGTTTGCCTACTCATAAAAATATACTTGAGGAAAACACAACTGACTACTTTTAAGCTGACAACTTCTGATCTTGGAAAATAAAACTCCAGCTTTGCATGCTTTGAGCTTGTTGAGCATCTGGTCAATCTTGTCAGATTGTCCTCTGAAACTTGTTGATGGGTGTCAAGTGTTAGAAATAACAGAATAGTAGCGTATCCAGCATGTCGGGGATGGCTGCTGACATGGCTGAGGTATTGGAAGCAAGGGACCTCCTAGATGTTGTGCTCACCTAACTGAAAATCAAGTGAACATATCACTTTCTTATGTTGTGGGGTATTGTTTGTCCGTCACTAACTTTTACACTTTTACCATCTCCTCTTAAATTACAGCATAATGTCTATTATTTGCCTATGGAGCTGAAACTTTGTAGAACATGATCCCAGCTATGGTGTCATAGTCAGACCCATATTGAAAATGTCGTTTTTGACGATTAATTGATCATTTCTACATCGTGTACATACAGCATTATGAAATTTGACATAGTGCAAGTTTGTGGTTGGCCAATTTACATATTTCATAATTTGCTGTGTATTGTGATGTCTAACACAGCTTTAAACCACAACCTTGATCAAGTTCATGTACCTCTCTGCCATTAATACCATGGTAGTCCTGATGAATGTGTAATTATGTCTCCCTACATAGCTGGTTATGTATGTATAAATGTGTGACTGGACGAACATGTTTTGAGGATGTCTGTGGGGTAGAAACTCCTGTTATTTCTTTTGCTGCTGCTTCTTCTTGTTGTATGCCCATCTCATCTTAATATGAACCACTGGTATTGCCAGACTCAGTTATATAATGGTGGCCGTCATACAGGTGGAAAAGTGCTGACTACGTAGGACATATCTCTTTATAGCATTCACTAGTGTCCTATGTTCTGCAGATGTCAGGGAAGTTGTTGCAGCTGTTATTGAATTGGATTACTGTTTCAGAGAGAGAAAGAAAATCAACTATGCAGCTTTTGGGGACGGCGATGACGGTAAGGGACACGCTTGCAGGGTAGTAATTAGGGGATAAGTATGGCGGCATCAGGTGCAAATGAAATTTCCGCCAAAGAATAGAGTACCTTGATCGATGGATGGTTTCAAGTAACTCCAAAAATTATTCTGTTTTACCAAAAGGGTTGTTCACTTTTTCCTCTCCACTTGGTAGAACAGAACCACACAAGACACAAGACATTTTGTAGTTGAAATGTTATATTTGTAGATCATTTTCTGATTTGTATTTATTTAATTTGGTACAGTATCTTAGTAACAGTTCATATATTAAGCAAGTGCATTACAAGTTTCCAATAGAACTTAATAAAAACTAATCTGTATGAGAATGATCATGATGGTGGCTTAACTGAAGTAAGTTGTAGTAGGGCTACAATGATACAGGAAGGCCATGATACGATACGTATCTCGATATTCTGGTCATGATACGATACGTATCTCGATACGCAACTTTATGGGGAAAAAACATGAACAGAAAAAATTACTCAAGCTTTTATTTAGTGTGTGACTGTGATTGATACTTGTACCGAGAATAATAAATGGTGGTGCAATGTCCAACTACTCCACTCTATGTTCTGTTCGTTAACGTCACTTCACTTCAATTCAGGGGCAGTCGGGTAGCCTAGTGGTTAAAGCGTTTGCTCGTCACGCCGAAGACGCGGGTTCGATTCCCGACATGGGTACAATGTGTGAAGCCCATTTCTGGTGTCCCCCGCCGTGATATTACTTGAATATTGCTAAAAGTGGCGTAAAACCATACTCACTCACTCACTTCAATTCAGTAAAAAAATTGCAATTGATATGATCATGACAAACTGTGAGCAGAGTGAGATGCTGTCTCTGGTGCACATTGTGTCAGTTGTCACTTGTCCAGTGTCTGTGCTACTACTTTGTCTGTCCCCGTCAGATGACTTTGCCGACCCAACACCACCTGGAAAGAAGAAATCAACTCTGGCTAACAAAGAGAATAAGGAAAAGAGCAGGAAGTCGGAGAAGGCTGTAAGGCCTGACAAGAACACTCAGAGGTAGAGACATCGTCTGTCATGTGTGCTGGACAAAACTGCCCATTCCATACACCGATTTGTCTTCACCCACATGGGTACAATGTGTGAAGCCCATTTCTGGTGGCCCCCGCTGTGATATTGCTGGAATATCGCATAAAACCATACTTACTCATTATTGATTTGTCTTCAGTAACCCATGCTTGCTGTAAGGCAGGGATTGATTTCACTATATCCAAGCTGCACCAGTGCAGGTAAAACATTGCTAGGGCAGGTTGTACCCAGTGCAGGATATAAAGATGTTAAAAGCCATATACAGATTTCCTCAAAATAAAATACTGGAGCACATTCTCAAGTTTATTTTCTCTTTGAGTTTATTTAATATTAAAACTAACAGAAAATACAGAGTTTAAATTTATGATAAAATGGTGCAGACAATTTTGGATTAATTTACTTGGCTGCACCTGGTGCAGGTGGTTAAACAGAATGAAATCGTACCCTGATTTGGTGACAATGAGGCTCCCTGACTTGACTGATGCATGTCATCGTATCCCAGTTGTGTAGATCGATGCTTATGATGTCAATCAATGGATTGTCTGGTCCACACACACTGCTGTCATATAGCTGGAATATTGCTGAGTGCGGTGGTAAACAACATACAAACAAAAAACAAAAATTATTTGTTCAAGCAATCTGCTAGGAAGTCTGTTTGCATGTATTTGTTTTGTAAAGTTGATACATGTGACATTCTCTTTATCATGTTTATGTCGGACAGTACACAACAGAAAGAAACTTATTGATCTGAAGACAGATCCTGGGTTTGAATCCAATAATCCCATATTACGATCCCTGGTTTGTCAGCACCATACCTGGTCCTGTTTATGACCTGTGTCACTTTGGACTCTGACACTGACTCTGACACACCATGACATACACATCACTCACTGTTTGTAGGCTGTCATTGGAGGAGAAGCTTTTTAAACGAGACCTCCAGGCGGCGCTGAACCTGTCTGCCAATGAATCTCAAGCGTCCAGCGATGGAAGCGAGGTTGTAAATCCTGACGACAAGTCTCATCAGGTCACAGTCACAGGTCAGAGTTCACACATTTTAGTTCACATGTTCTTTTGATGACATATTTTTCAAAATCTGTAGAATGTAGAGTTAGGTTTTAGCCCTCAGTATTAATGCAGAAAACATTTAGATGTCAACATGGTCAATGCTGTCGCCAATTTTTAGTGGCTGTCTTTGTTGACATTATCAATGTTGACTTCATATTCAGGTGAGCTACAGTGCTGTGGCACCACTGACCACAGCCACAAAAAGTGATGCCGGGAAAAGAAGTAAACTGATTTAACATGTTTAAATATAAAACAAAAAATTGCAATTCTGATAAACATGATAACTGAAAAAAGATATGTGGCATCAAATTCAACTCTACCACTTGTAAGTCAACAATGTGAATTTCAGTGCATGGTAGAATTTGTCAGCGGTTTGTTGCCATGTTTGTTAAACTTCCACCCCACAATATATCTCTCTGTGTGTCTCGCTCGTTCGCTCACTCACTCACCACACACACACGCCACACGCCACACGCCACACGCCACACACACACCAGACACATACATTCAGGAATATATTGTCTTATGTCAGCATGTTTTCTATGTCTCCTAGTTGAGAGTGCCCCGCCACCTTCTTGCATCAAGACTTCGGTGACAGAATCAGATGGAAACACTGAACTAGTGGAACAACCAGACCCTGACTTCAAGCCAGGTTCAGACCATCAGTTGCAGCATGTCAGCGCGGCAAGGAAGTGGCCAGCCGAGGAGGAGGAAGTCATACAAGTCCTTGAGTCAGACATCTTGTCTGGCGAGCAGCCTTCCAAACGGAGGCGAGTCACAGCAAGTCCACCGAAGAAATCAAAATATGTGGACAGTGACTCTGAAGGTAAACATATACATTCAGCTACGGTTGCCTTGTACACCGTCAAATTTTGATACAGGTATTCTGTACAGTTTCTGTTAGGTGTTAAAACTACGGGTTAAGGGAACGATTGCCTGAGAAGAAGAGGGGACCAAAAAGTATAAAAAAAGCGAGGCGACCCATATTGCTCTCAAACATAGGGTCACTTCCTGTTATTGCTGTCCGGGTTTGGCAGTCTGCAGGACACAATATGTTTCTCATAGTGTAGCGATACAGACATTGACAATAGTGTTCAATTGAGATTATTACACTTTGAACATATTTGTTAACCTTTTATGTGCTTATCATGTCTAGAAGGCAAACCTTCGTTAACATATGTTGTTTTGTGTCAACAATAATACTTAAAGTCTTAGAGAATAAATCTGAAGAAATCTATAAGAACCAACTCATTCACAAGCTTAAAATGTGTACTTGGATATACTGTCTGGTGTCATTTATCTGTTTATAACCAACAGGGTTAGAAATAACCAAGTTCACCAAAATGGTATGTGCACTTGTGAAGATATCTATTCTTGCGTACCAGTGTATTGTTTCCGTCATCCGGACGGCATAGTTGATGTCATTTGAATCTCGGGGAATACAAGGATGCTGAAACAAGGACTGGCCGGCTCAGAGTCAGCATACTGTGTCTGAGAGGGGTATTCGTGTTAAACTGGCATGGTATCTCGGTGGGCGAGCACTATTTAATCGGCATTAGTCTGGACCAGCTATATACCAGCTTAGTATGCACGTCGCTATATAAGTGCAATAATCTTGAACGTGACATTAAACCCCATGTCACCTCACCTCACCTGTAAACCTCCCCTGGTGATACTAGGGTGCTGTGTTTCTGTTTAGTTCAACACTGCAGTCAGCAGTAACACAGTATCAGGACAACATGTAAATAATCAAGTCTGGAACAGACAAACCAGCGAACAGTCATCAGAATACTGTTGGAATATTCCTTCATGTTTCATAAATTAACATTCACATGACACCAGTCCTGTAGGGAGTCATGATGCAAGGGTGGCCCGGTCGTCTAAGGAACCACAATACTCCTGGGTTTGAATCCTGGTTCATCCTAAAAACAATTCTAGATTTGTCAGCACCGTACATGTGCTCAAGGACCTGCCTCACTTCAGGCTTTCTTCCCACATCAAACTGACACGCCATGAAATACTGATTTAAACCAGACTCACTCAAACATTTATGGTAGAAATAATCCATTTGTATTATTACTGCCAGGGAGTGAGTTCGAGGCGGACAGTGATAGCGATAGCGACCAGAGTTTTGATGAAGGTGATGACAGCGACTTTGATGATGGCAGCAAATCCAAGTCTAAAGCCAGCAAGGTCCTGTCTACAACAATGAAGCCTGCAGCGGTAACCAAGACAAAACCGGCTCCGGCTGCTGCAACCAAGACAAATCCTAATCCTGCTGCTGCAACCAAGACAAAACCTGCTCCGGCTACAAAAGGTAAAAGTGAAAGCAACTGTTAATATATATTTCTTGTGAAACAGTGTGAGGTTTCAAATTTATCATTACATCTTCCTGAGGCAAGATAGTTAACTGACTAAAGTTTCTACTCTTGCCGAACTAGGCAAGAATTTCTAGTTATGTCCCTTTTATGTCCTTCCTATTGACCATTTAGGTTCAAACAAAATGGCAGTGCCCAGTCAAGACAATCTGATCTATAATCGAGATCTATGTGAGCATCAAATCACGTGAGCACCTTGATGAAAACATAAAAAGATTTGAAAACTATCTGCCGACTCTGAGTTGGCAGTTCACATGCTTTGCTAATCCTGCAATCAACCGAAATCTGCACGGCAGTTTACGAACCGGATGTCGATTTCGTTACGCGATTTTGATTGGACTATGTATTGACTCATTAGTCCAGCCAAAATATAACCCCCTTGCCTCAGGTAGATAGTATTATTATGACATGTTGAATCAATGATGCCATTATCCCCATGTACCAAACATTGCAGGTTTCTCTTTCTGGCAAATCACAAAATTCAAAACAAACTTTTTGTTGTTAGTGAAGACAATGCATGAAGTCATGTGGATTGATATAGTGAATCAACAATGAATTGTCATCAGTACACACTACTTGCATGACACATGGCTCTGTATTTCGGAATAAATAGTCGCTACAAGAAATTAAGTCAGCTCGCAATTGACACGAGATTATCATGACACCAGGATGTAGAGGTGAATTCTGCTTGGCCATGTGTGCTAATTGTGAAGTACCAGCTGTCTGGCCTGCAGGTCAGTACAAGGATGCTGACAAGATAACTGACAGCTGTATCACAATCTGTTTCTTCCCTTCAACAAAGTTTCCAAATGCAAAGATTTGGATCCACCCAAGTTTAATTATGTATCACTCATAATGACTGTCATCACTCTAGCCTAGCCTTTTTAACAGGCGCTTCAAAAGTGTCTGCCTTTTCTTTAAAACAATTATCATTATTATATATGAATTGACACAACATGTTTCAAGGTGTTTCTATAGCCATTTTTACTGATTGAACCTCAAAGATTTATGAATAACTAAATTCTGTGCATGTGACCTTCATTCAATTCAGTAACAGAAACACTCAAGTAGTTCTGCAGAGTGTCCTGCAGCTGTCATCATTACTTTATTTAAGTGGCTTTATATATTTCTGTTCACATTCGGTGAAGCACAAGGAAGCCATATTTGTTATTGTGATCGACAAGGAATGGAACATATTTTTCAATGCTTAAGTTTTAAATGAAGTAAAACTGATTATACCCAGATACTATAATGCCTTACTGCACACCTAAATTACCCCACATAGTTTGAGTATTAGCAGCCATTAAATTAAAACCTTGCACAAACCAGCTAGCCCCAGCCAGTTTGTTTAATGTTAAGATCCAAAGGGATAGTTCAAATTTCAAATGTTTTCAAGCATTTCCGTCTGTATATTTCCTTACAGGATTAAGTAAATTGTTAACCAGTCTATTTAGTAACCTCATACCGTAACAACAACTGTAGGTTCCTGGTACCGCAGAATACCTACAGTGGATACTAGTGATGACTTTATTTGTCATACTTATGTCTTATGTCTGTGCATCACGTCAGGGATGCCTCCCACCAAGCTGACACTAGGTCTCGTTAATCCGACACTCGTTAATCTGACAATCGGCTTTATCTGACACAAATGATGGGAACCGATTAAATCAGTGCCATTTAGACTGGTTAAACCAACAGTCTTGCACTCCGACTCTGACACACCTAATTTGCAATGAATTGCTGAAATCACTCATCTTGTTAATCCTACACAGCGATCAGCGATAAACAAAACAGGATTAATTACATGCCTAGATTACCTCAATCTCATTAAAATCGGATACACGCTACTGCTGAATACATCCCATTACATGTCACGTCAGAACGACCTTTCGCGAACTTTGACCGACCAATGAAATTACAAACAGGAAGTTGACATTAGCCACTAAGAAAGGAGCTTTCTTAAGCATTGCGGCACTAGTTTCAAATTGTCCACTTCCATTCTAGACTATGCTTTGAAAAATATTTTGAATCAGTCATACACTCCATAACAAACTTTAGAGGTTGCATGATTAGAAAACATATTCTGCTAACAATGCAACATAACAATATGAATATTTCCTTTTTCCCTTTTTAATTTCAAGTTGTTTGAATCATTATCTATCGTGTAATTGTCCTATTTTCGATCATGAACGTTGATACTACCTAATTTCATTTTTTATCCGACATACTCGTTAATCCGATGTAATCATATGCAACCAACAAGTCGGATTAACGGGACTTGACTGTAATTGAAACTATTCATTTTGACTGTGAATAACTGCATTGTGTCCACAGGAACAGGCACAGCTCAAAGGCCTGCCACAAAGCCTCAACTTCAGTCAACCACTGGCAAGACAACATCAGTTGTACGGAAAACAGTTTCCTTACCAAGCGTTGCTTCAGTCTCTCCACAGAGCAGAATGAAAGGCATCCCAGGACACAAGACATCGTGGACACCACCAGGTGAGCCTTGCTGATCGTGAGGGACACATTTGTCTTGTATATCCCTGAATATCACTGCTTGATTTGATCTCAGGCACTACAGAACATTTTCTGGCATCAAGTGCCTGTGGTTTTGTTTATTTGAATTTTAAATAATCTGGACTCACAAATAGTGTTTTTTTAAATTTATTAAGCCTTGCACCTGTTATTTGTAGTCAACTCATGTTCACTTCATTTCAGCTTCTTCAAGTTCGTGCAAGTCAGCTGTTGGGAGCAGAACTATGACATCCCCCTCTGCTGGCATCCGCCTTGGGCTGTCTCGGAACCAACGGGTCAAGTCCCTTCATCCCTCTCTACAAGTACAACAGTGACAGAGGCAAGACGAGTACAACAGTGACGGGGACAAGACGAGTACAACAGTGTTGGGCTAGTCAAGTCCCTTCATCCCTCTCTACAAGTACAACAGTGACAGAGGCAAGACAAGTACAACAGTGACGGGGGCAAGACGAGTACAACAGTGTCAGGGGCTAGTCAAGTCCCTTGATCCCTCTACGATTACAACAGTGACAGTGACAAAACGAGTACAAAAGTGACAAGGGCAAGACGAGTACAACAGTGACAGGGGGCAAGACGAGTACAACAGTGTCAGGGGCTAGTCAAGTCCCTTGATCCCTCTACGATTAGAACAGTGACAGTGACAAAACGAGTACAAAAGTGACACGGGAAAGACGAGTACAACAGTGACAGGGGCAAGACGAGTACAACAGTGTCAGGGGCTAGTCAAGTCCCTTGATCCCTCTACGATTACAACAGTGACAGTGACAAAACGAGTACAAAAGTGACACGGGCAAGACGAGTACAACAGTGACACGGGCAAGACGAGTACAACAGTGTCAGGGGCTAGTCAAGCCCCTTCATCCCTCTACGAGTACAACAGATTTTGAAAGAGCAGTCTTGAAAAGTACTTGAATTTGGTGACTGAAAAGGTTTGAACGGCAGACTGGCACGATCTGCCTCCAACTGATTTGCAACGTGACCCACGACATGAGTGATTCACTACCCTTTCGATTGCTCCCCCTGCATCGTATGATGTGACCACGTACCTGCAGCCATCAGGTGCTCTTGTACACACTTTGGGCAGGTAGCAGACACTCACCAAACTGAGCCCGATGCTTTTTGTAGATATTTCCAAAAGATGCATGGATTATTGACATATAGGAAAGTATAGAATCCTGGATAGTTTTGATATTATAACAGTTGTCCCAGTACTTTGTCCAGAACCGCAATGTTCAATTCTGAACAGTAGCTGGTAGACAAGGCCAAGTCCATGTCAGCCAATACTAACGCTGAAAGTTACTAGTAACTACATAACCTTTTTTATTTAATTTTTTATCTCTAATAGAACCCAATGAATATCCTTTTTGTCCCCCGCCGCGCGAAAGCGTGAAGCGGGGGATATAGTATTCACGACCGTCCGTACGTCCCACCTGTTTGTTGCCGCGATATCTCAAGAACTAAACACTGGATTGTCTTCATATTTGGAACTATGGTGTATATACAGACTCCGCAGACACCAGTCGGTTTTGGTGACCTTGACCCCATTTTCAAGGTCACAGCAGGCATATCTGCTTTTGGAGTTGGAAAACGGTGTTGCCGCGATATCTCAAGAACTAATCTCTGGATTGTCTTCCTATTTGGTACTAGGGTGTATATACGGACTCCGCAGACACCAGTCGGTTTTGGTGACCTTGAGCCCATTTTCAAGGTCACAGCAGGTAAATCTGCTTTTGGAGTTGGGAAACGGTGTTGCCGCGATATCTCAAGAACTAATCGCAGGATTGTCTTCATGTTTGGAACTATGGTGTATATACAGACACCGCAGACACCAGTCGGTTTTGGTGACCTTGACCCCATTTTCAAGGTCACAGCAGGCAAATCTGCTTTTGGAGTTGGAAAACGGTGTTGCCGCGATATCTCAAGAACTAAACACTGGATTGTCTTCATATTTGGAACTATGGTGTATATACAGACTCCGCAGACACCAGTCGGTTTTGGTGACCTTGACCCCATTTTCAAGGTCACAGCAGGTAAATCTGCTTTTGGAGTTGGAAAACGGTGTTGCCGCGATATCTCAAGAACTAATCGCAGGATTGTCTTCATGTTTGGAACTAGAAATTAAAACACTAAAATTGACTGAAAATAATGCTGAGAGACAAGTTCAGTCTCAAAATATTTCATTCTCGTGCAGCAAGTATTTTGATGGTCAACAGTATGGCTGCATGGTATTGCTTCCATGGCTGGATACAATAAACCTACACAGTGTCTGATGAGTTATCCAGCTGATGCAGTAAAAAGGTCTTTCAGCATAATGGTGTGCTTAAAAGAAACATGGTAAGCACTGTGGTAGTCCTGAATCATACATATTCAGTACTGAAAGTAATAATAGTTTTTTTAGTAAACCTATATTTGAAAACATTGTTTGTTTGTTTTTGTATTTATTTGAAACACTGTTGAAAAACATATCCTGGGATAGACACAGTTTTGTTAGTCCAAGACAAGTGTAAATCTGGTAAGACTATGTTTTTTTTCTACCAAGTCTAGTACAGAACCAGTTGTCTGGTGTAAGCTGCAGACCCTACCCCTATCATTATGAAGCTGTGAATATGTTAGCTTAAGTAAGTGATTGAGTGCACAAGAATTCAAAGCTGTACCCTAACAACATTCACGACCCTTTGGTTACAGGGATGTGTTCAGTTTCATGTGTTATATATAGTTTTATATTTATGGAGTTCCTACTTGTAGATCATGACTCAACCACTGAAATAAAAAGAATATGAATACAAAGTTGTTGTGTTTTAATAATATTGTCAGAAACTATTTTTAAAAACTCTGGTTGTATTAACTATCTTCGTTAACAATTCATTTCTCTCTAAAACAAATGACGGTCTTCTGCAGAATATGAATAAATGAAACCAAATATATTTCAGAACATTTGTGAAATAAAAGATGAAAAAAAAAATTACTACGTCCCTGGGTGGGCTCGAACCACCAACCTTTCGGTTAACAGCCGAACGCGCTAACCAATTGCGCCACAGAGACATGCTGCCAGCGGAGGTATTCGAGACCACCCGTGTCATACGTCACCACTCGCGCCTTTCCGTAACCTGCATAAAGAGTTATCCCGGAATGACGCGAGTTGGTCACGAGTGATTCCGGGACAACCTGCTTACGGACAGGGAGGCAGGAGTAGGAGTGACTTCCAACTGCACTTGCTGTTTGACAAAATAAACACCTCAACCTGCAATCTTAGTCACGGAAGAAAGGACATTTGCCGGGCAAACATCCTCGCACTCAAATAAGTGCCACAACCAACATTGATGCATTCCCAGTAAACCCTGGCAAATTTCTTGTCAATTTCCCCATGACCTGCCATAGCACATATTTCGTTTCGCGACACACTTTTCGCTCACCTGATCCATGCCATTACACTGGCTAGGTGGGAGGTGCACCTTTCAACCCTCCCGTGAAGATCCTGGTGAGAACTGGTCGTCCGCAACCCATGCTGCTTGTCGCAAGATACGACTAACGGGATCGTGTGGTACGGCTCGCTGACTTAGTTGATGCATGTCATGGTCGATGGTCATGATATCAATCATTGGATAGTCTGGTCCACACTCGATCTTTAACAGGCCGCCGTCAAACAAAACAAAAACAAACAAACAAACCAAGTTAACCTTGCACAGATTACAGGCATTACGGTACTCAAAATACATTAGAAATCCTTAATATAAGCACTAATTCTAAATGTGAGACAAATGCAATATATTAAGGGCGTATTTAGTTGTGATATAGTCCATGGTGGTGATAATATTGTTGTGGATATAGGGGAGGTAACTCCAATCTTGTGAGAGACTAGTTCACCACCAACAATTTTTTCAAAATAACACTTGAAGCAGCACATACATCAATCTCTAAAATGGCACAGTAAGGGGCTAATTGCAATGCAAAACGCCAAGTGACGTGCACTTGTCTCCCAGTACTGTGCACCACAACAAACAAACCTCGCAACGAGTAGCCATAACATGAACCTGTCGTATATTAGTTCGTTTCTCAAATTAATCGAAATAAACAAGAAACAGTCATGTGCTCCTAAAACTAACCGGCATTATACCATAACTTTAACCTTTAATTCAGTTGATGTCATGCCAGCTAATTTAGTAAACTAATGAATTTCGAGCAGCTGTTCTCGCTATTCAGCCTGCAGACTGACACGTGCGTGAACCCAACCAAATCACGTGAGGTATACTTTGTTTGTCAAACTTTTCATTTCTGGACCCATAAGTTGCAGACTCAATGCCTTAAATGGATGCCACTGAAATATAAAAATGATTGCTTCATGTTGACATTTGCCCCACCTTCTAAACGCTTGTAGAATGGCAACAGATTCCGCTGCAGAGACGTTCACTCAGAAAGAAGTATTTTCAAAAAATAAATTCACGTACTGTATGAAAATATGTAAGTCAGATAGATATGATGAACATTAATTATTAATTATCTTATATATTGTAAATAAGTAATGATTACTTTAGTTGGTCTTCAGCAACCCAAGCTTGTCATAAGACGCGACTAACGGGATCGGTTTGTCGGGCTCGCTGACTTAGTTGAAGCACGTTATCATATCCCAATTGCGTAGTTCGCTGTTAATGGTGTCACTCACTGGATTGTCTGGTCAAAACTCAGTGATTGCTGTCATATAGCTAGAATATTTTCTTGGTGTAGCGTTAAACAAGAAACCAAAAAACATTTTTTGAAACAAACTTGTCTGTACTTACCATTAGGTCCGCTTCGATGGGCAAAAAAACAAACCGTTCATGGCCTATCAAATATTTCATACCTTGTTACTTGTACTTTGTTGTTGTTTGTGGCTGTGTTTTATTTATTTGTAGGTCATTAACAGTGGATATTCTCACGATCGTACCAAACTGAGAAAGACATGTTTTATTGACTGACTGCATTATTCAATGATGAAACCTCCCGGGTGTTAAATAGCAGAACCCCCCGGATTGTGACCATGTGATCAAGACTCTACGTTTATAACTAGTAAAATGGATATTTCTTGAAAAGCGCACTTTGCTGTTCTTGTCATTACTGTCAGCAATATTCCCTATCGGCGGAATTGCTTGTTGTCACTTAAGAAGCATTACACACTTGCAACTATCTTCGTTAATTAATCATCGCGATATTTCGGGATTCTAGTTCAAGCATCTTCCCGAGGCAAGTTTACTTACTTTAAAAGTCCAGTTTCAACCCTTTCCAAACTAGGCTGGAATTTCATGGTTCGGTCGTAGCGCCACCAGTGGCTATAACGAGTTATGTCCCTTCTATGTCCCCCACCATTGACCAAACAGATTCCACGTCTGATATCACTTGCATTTGCTTCAAACAAAATGGCGGCGCCCCGTGAAGACGATAATCAAGATCTATATTGTAATAAAACGGGTCTTACTTCGCGAAGTGCATCAAATCACGTGAGCACCTTGATTAAAAACATGAAAAGATTATAAAACTATCTGTTAACGCCCAGTTGACGGCAGACATGCTTTGCAAAACCTGCAATCGCCCGAAATCTGCACGTCAGTTTACCAACTGGATGTTGATTTCGTTACGTGATTTTG